ATAATGTAGAGTCAATTTTACTGAACTGTCCGTTGCTTTCTCTTACGTATGCTCTTGATAACCTATATCTCTAAAACCGCAAGTTCGATTTGACTCAGATTTTGAGGGAATTTAGGAATCGGTAAACGTAAAATGAAATTGCCATCAATTTTATCAAATTCTATCTACTAGTAAAAATAATATATATATACTTCCGCTTTCAGACCAGGAAATGTGTTATTTGATATGCCTAAAATTTGAAAACGGTGCATTAAATTTGACCCAAACTTGGAGGAAATCTGGATTGGGAAATGTTTAGAATAGTGAAAACCCGAACAATAATTCAAGAAATAAAAGAGGAAAAGCGAATGAAAATTTGAAAAAGTTTTGCACTTATTCCCAAAACTCTAAACTAAACTAAAGTTCTGTGGCCGCTTACATCAAGGGATGAGCAATGTCTTAATGTTTTTGAAAATATAGTATTGCGTAGAATATTCGGACCGAAGGATGAATTAACCGGAGAGTTCAGATGGTTCCACAACGCCGAATTGCGTGAACTGTATACGGGTAATATAATTGAGGCGATTTCATTCCGGCGAATCCAATGGGCTTGTAAAATTGTTGGGTTTAGTAATGAGAGAATTCCTAAAAGGTTAATATTTCCTGTACCGAATGGCAAACGTCTGAGGGATAGGCTGAGGCGAAGGTGGGAAGATTGCAATAAAGCAGATCTGAAGGGACTAGGTTTGAACGGCGAACGGTGGAGGGAGGTGTGTAATAAGCGATTGGTGGTGTCGACATCGAACATTCGGGTTCGCTAAGCCTTTTATTATAATTATTATTATATATCGTGAATGGAAACTCGGTTTTTATCGTTCCAACAGATTTATACCATAGTCATTGTTTTTTTTCTTATCCTGCTGAATGAAATTCGTGGATAAAGGTGAAGAAGCTTGAATAGAACATTGAAGAACTCAAAGCATAATGAATTTTCTTTCTGAACTCTGTATTTATAATTTTGTAATTCATAACGACGTATAAATGAATATGATGGCTGATAAATATATTTATAGAAAAATAAACATTAATCCATGGATAACGACACTGAAATGTATAGCATATTTTTTTATTTCACCGCTTATGTGTAATAAATGCAGATAATTTCAATAATAATTACATGTAAAAAATGAAAAAAAAGCACGCTGCGGACAGGATTCGAACCTGTGCGGGCAAAGCCCATTGGATTTCGAGTCCAACTCCTTAACCACTCGGACACCACAGCTTCGCAGAATCCGGCTTGAAATAAAATACTTAACTCTCAAACTTTTTATTTCTTTTGAAGTAATAGAAAAAACAAATTTCCTTTATGTATGAAAAGCTTAATTTCGTATTTCCAAATAGATCAGGAACATAAAAAAATTAGTCATTTTTTAAAGCAATTATCTCCTCCATATACTTGTATTTATTTTTTAAAAATCAGGTAACTTTAATCAAGAATGAACAACTCTTCTTTCAATATTTCAATAATAAACTTAATAATTAATTTATCAATTGATTATTGTTAGTTATTTCTTTTAATTTATATCTCAGGCTTAAAAGCCATTTTAATAATGGTAAAATAAGTTATATTTATAAATTAAATCAAGAAATTAGTAATTGATGTATGGTTGTTTTAAATATGCTAATTCCAAGAGTTTATAAAGTTACCAAACAAGAAATAAATTTTATGTTATGAATGCAGGGAAGAAAATGATTTGGTAATATTAAAGAGAAATTATACAAAAACATCATCTGAGCATTAAATAAAAACTGAATAACCATCTAATAATCACTATTTAATTGTAAAAAACTTTCAAAATGTTAAATGATTTTATACTCATACTTCTATTACTTATCCTTTCGAAATAAATATGGTAACTTGTTAAAGTTATTAAATACCCTAATAACAAATCAGACCATATCTTACTTGTCTTCCGATTGGTAGATAGTTCAAAGCCCTCATACAATTTTTGTTTTTCTTCCTTCTTCTTCATTATCGGGTCAATTATGAAGTTCAAATTTAAAAAATCTCATTAAAGTTCCCATTTAGTTTTATTTTTCTTTCCTTCTTATTTATCATGATTAATTTTTACTTTCAGTTACTTATATTTAAAATATATAAGGAAAAGTATTGAGATCATGAAACAGTTTATATCAGAGTTTTAAACCTCGGAAATACATCTTTTGAGGTTCCCCGAGGCCAAAATAATAAGTTTCGCAAAATGGTCAATAGTGGGTGTGTTTGAACAGTCTAGTTCAAAAACGAAAAGTCATTTGAAACTGAAATAAGGTACTTCAGGTAGGTGTATATCACAAAAATCAACTAGCCGGAAGTAGCACTTCCTATTAAGGAATTCATACAGTTTTAATACTTGTATATTTCCTTTAATATTTTCAACATTTAATAATTCTTTTATGGCAATAAGTGCTTTAAATGAATATGTTATACAATTTGTAATATTTACTATCAGTTCCTTACATATGATAATATTTCTATTTAAGGTAGGGTGGTAAATGAAAGATGTCTAATTCGTGCATCACATCATTCTCTTAACCACTACCAGTGAATAAAAAGTTTTCAAACAGTTTAGAAATTTTATTTATTCAATCAAACATTTGATTTCAGCTTAATTTTGTTTTATTAATTGATTTCCAACAGTACATTATTAACTCTTAAATAAGCAGTTTGGCAGTCTAAAAATAATTATTAAATTATAATATATAAATAGGACAAATATACATGGCTGTCTTCAAGTAAATGTATAACTTCCACGATTATCGCATTCATTTTCTTTTCAACAACTTTTGAACAATTAAATTTTGGGAAACTACATTTTAATTTAAGACATTGCTACGATTAATTAAGAAGACAGATATTAATTTATTGAATTTTAGCAATCATTTAAGCAATCTTTGAAGTCAATAGCAGTTTAATCAAAAGATATTGGAGGATTGGATTAGGACAATAATAAAATAAAAAATAGATTGTTTTTTAAAAAACATCTTTATACTTTTTCAGAAAACATTAGATAAACTATTAATGAACACATATTTAGGAATTATAAAGAACATAATAGATTAAAATTTCTAGATTAAATACAAAAAAAAAATTGTTGAATACAAGTTAGAAAACAGAGAGTAAATAATACCAATGAAGTAGTGGAACCCAATTTTGAAAAGAACAAAAATATATTTAACTACCAATGAACAGTTTTGAATCCTAAAATATAATTGGAAGTACATATTTATAATAACTTATAAATATGTATTAATAGGCAGTGTTAACTTATTATTACTGTTCTTAATTATAAAATGATAATAATTTTTAATAAATCTAATGACTAAGAACTAAACAAAATTGAATTTAAATTTCCTTTAACTTATTGATTGCAGATTCATTATAACTATGGTGGTTTATTATAATGGTTTATGGTTTATTATAACTATGAATTAATGACAAAATATGATTAATGAAAAGAATACAAATAAGAAATACTTCACTTTTTTCCCACTAAATAGCCAATGATTAAACAAGGAGAAACTATTTAACAGACATTGTTCCCAAGAATAATTGAAAGATTATTATATCACTGAGGTTTTGTATTTGAAGTATTAAATAAGTTAAGTAACTGTAGCTATTCAAATGAATGAATACATACAACATACTTATTGTTGTAGTTTATCTTCAAATTTATAATCTAATAAAACAATTAATTAAAACATACCAATCTAATATGAAATATTATTAAATTTAGTTTGAGAACAGAAGGATGTAATACCACGAATAAATTAGCAAATTTTATGAAGTATTAAAATTCAAATATAGCCATAGTCACAACTGTTAAAAATATATAAAAAAAAAAAATCATAAGATCACTTATGTAAAACTTAATTAATAAGTTTTCTTCAAATAATACAATGCACTATTTAATATTTTCTAATTGTTCATAATTACGACTTTTTCACTTTGAAAAAGTTTAATCGTTCAAACCAAGGGTTGAAACGATTAAAAATAATAAGGAATAAATTTTATAGAACTATATATAAGCAATATAAACTTTCTATATATAATATAAGCTACTGTATATTAGATATACAATTAAAAACTGTGGAGACTATGAAAAGTATGTAATGAAAATGATATGTTTTATGGTGAAAAAAATAAATAAATGTGTAGGATTAAATCAAAGAAACATAATTAAAATTGCTAGTTAATTTTTCTGTTTTATGGAATGCAAATGAACAATTTACAGTCCAAAAATGTCTTAACTGCTGGTGTCTTAACATAAATGGCACTGTTTCTCATTCTGTATGCTGGGGCTGTAGCTCATAAGGCTTATGCCATTAAAAGGCCCTCCCTACCCAAAGCCAAACATACAAAAAAGTAAAACAAACGCTACATACAAATACATGGAAAACTTATAGAATAAATACTTTAAAGATAAAACAAAATAAAAAGTCACACAAAGACTTTTTATGTTTTAATATAATGAAATGGGCAGTTTACGTGGAAAATTGACCTGCAATTCAAATTTACAGCACCGTCAATTGAAGTGAACAAAAAACTGCCATTTTTGAGTTATAACATTATTGTTACCTGAAGGTGATAGGTTATATAATTATACTTTTCAAAAGTAAAATAAAAATAAAATAATTGTGTCAATAAAAAGTTACTAAACATTAAATAATGATATTGCTTTAAAATAAAGTATAAATGTAATTGAAAAATATCAAATCTAATAAAATTGTAAATGTATGTACAACAAAAATCAACTAAACTGAAAACTTAGTAATATTATGAAACAATCTTTCAAATATCATCAGAAAACAAGTTTAACAACTCTTAAGCAGTAATACTTTAGACAACAAATTTTCAGAATAACTATATGAAAGAAAAATATTCTTTAAATTTTTTAAATTAATAGTTAAACTGAATTAAATTTATAAAATCTTAAATAGAAGAGAACAAATAAAATATAAAAGGCCACTTACTAGTATTTTACTACCTATAATTATAGGTAAAATATAGGATATTGGCTAGCCAATATTAAATTAATTATTTCTATAATCACAGAAATTCAGGTACATTTCCTTAAATAATACATATTAACTAAAAATTAAAACCCGTTTCAAATCACGAAATTCTACAAAAAGAAAAATAGCTCCAAACTTCAAATAAATTTTCTCCTGAAAAACACATTTAGAAGTTAATCATAAATTAGAAATACTAAATAATAACACAAACATTAAAAATCATTAAATTTTAAAATGTAATGAGTATCCAATTTGCACAATTTACATGTTCTAGACAGTTTGTTTTTTTCCCGATCCCTCTGAAACAAAACAAATCATGATATCAGTGTCATATCAGACCAATGCACTAGCGGAACGATACTCTGAATTACTTTGACCTTTTTCTACCTGTGGTATTTGAAGGTGCGTTGAATGATTTTGGTAGGTTATCTCTTCCTGCCCACTTAAGGTCTTGATAAGGTGTTTGGGAGTTGAGGGTCCTTCCCTCGTTAAGTGATAAAAAAAATACTATAGAATGTCTCAGGTGCCATCCCTAGATATATCCTCCCTTCCTCTCCCTCCCCCCACTCCAATGTGGCAATGACATCATCTTCCCATAAAAAATTAAATTTAATTCCTAAAGTGTTTTATGTTAAGTAATGTAATATTTGAATTTTATTTCATTGAATATGTCTCTAGTTCAATTAACTGCCCCAGCCTGAAACCGACACTGATATCTAAAGAGTTTGTCAGTTGGATTTCCTGACTTTTTTTAATCTTAAATAAAATTCCTTGCCCGTTACCTCCAAAGTAAGAAAGTGGGGTAAAATATTATGACAATAATTTTCATAATATTCAAAAATATTTATTAATAGATTAACTATCACAAAGTCTGAATAATAAAAATTAAAGTCAAACCAACTCGAGGTTGGTCCAAAATTGTTTGAGTTTTTATAAAAAAAAAACATCAATGTTCAACACATTTTATTTCAAGATATAAATTGAAAAAACAGCCATAAACAGAATGAATGGCTATTATGATATCCAGACAGTTGATAATGAGAAAAATAAACATAAATCTGAAATGGTAAAGTTTCAGAGGAATTCCTACTACACTTAGGTTTACTTATAATTTAAGTCTTTTAAGGCTGTCATAGGCAAAGTTGATAAACAGGTCATTATATTATACTCTTGGGATTACTTCAATATCCTATGGAGGCTGAACATCAGATCGATGGTGGACCTTCATTCTCTAAAACCTGCTCAATATTTATCAATTTTGTCTTCCACATATTGAGAAGAGTTTGTCGTAGATAATTTCAAAAGAACTTTATATACATACTGAAGAAGTGAAATCCCACAGATACTGAAGCAGTTTAGTATGTTTCTTTTTTGGAGGGGGGGGGTGCATATCATTTCTTTTTTTCCTTTTAAGCATTTTATTTTTAATCTAAATAGTTAAGATGATTTATAAAAGGAATTTCTCAACCTCCTCAACACTCTGATTAAGAAGCTGAGCAGAATCCCATATTCTCCTGTTATTTTATTATTGTTCAGTCTGTTAATTCCATTTTTTTTTTTCAATGACAGAGAGCGCATTATTGTATCAGATTTAATTCATTATTTAATTATATTCTGTTTTTTGCAGTCACAAAGAAAATCCTTCCACGTCAGACCAGTATTTCTAGGATTTGATAATACATAGCAGGTGTCAATTTTGAAATCACTGTGACCATTGAGAAAATATAAGCTCTTCAAAGTTTAGGAAAGCTAACATTTTTCCTTCGATTAATTATTTACTAACATCCTCCTTTGAAATATAATTTATTTTTAAAGTTATTATTGATACATGATAACTTGAAAACATGATAATGGATTGATGGTTCATAGTAGTAAATAATTGGAGAGAAGTTGGTTGGAGTTTTCAGTCAAAATATAAAGTAAAAATAAATAAATAAATTTATTTTTATTCCCTTAGTACCGTTGTTTCGGCCTAGTTTCCAGAGCTAAGCAAAGACAAGATAACATATAATATAAATATTGAGAAATAATATATGTACAAGGAGATAGATAAAAATGATATACAAATTAAGGAAGTATATAAAGTAATAGTAAAAAATCAGAAACTTATAAAAGAGTGGTAGCAAAGTTAGAGACTTATGAAATAATGGAAGAAACAATAGTAAAATAACGGCCACAACTTAATGAAATTAATAAAGCAATGGAAAAAGAAATATAAAATAATGGTTTGATATATATAATTAAAGCATGATATATAAAATAACAGAGCAAACCTAGGCAGAAGTAAAATAAAGTGATGAAGTAAACAAAAATAATATAATGGTCACAAGTTAATGAAAATTAATAAAGCAATGAAAAATGAAATAACAAAGAAATTTAATAGAATATTAAGTGAAACAAATATAAGTGGTTAAAGTAAAATAAGCAGGATGACGTAATTGTTTTATTATACAGTTTACTTTTTACTTCCTTAATTTATATATCATTTTTTTGTGTATCATTGCTTAATATTTATATAATATAAATTTTGTCTTTGCTTACCCCTGATGAAGGTCTGAAACATTGGAACAAAGAGAATAATATATGCTATTCTATCCTTTCTAATTTTAAGACTCTGGATTCATGCATAATTATTTTAAAGTTAATCAATTTTATGGCCAAAAATAATTGTATTAAAATTTTAACATAATAGAACTTTTTTTTTGTTTTGTGGTAAAAATGCACTGCGGCCATGAAGGCCTATTGTACTTCATAGGATATGGAGAAATAAATGGTGTCCAAATGAGTTTATAGAGGCAGCTTTACAGAAGGATACAGATAAGGAATTCTAAAAACAGGTAGCATGAATGTTCAATATGAAGGGATATACAAATTGGTAGGTTTTGATCTTGTATTTAAAAGACGGAAGGAAGAATACAAAAAGAAAAGGTCAAGGATATTGTACAAATTTAATTTAATATTATAATCTTTAAGGTACTTACTTTAATGCCTGATTGTTTCTTAATAGACTCCTTGGATTGACATTTTTAACAGGTGGCCTATTGACATATTCCACAACAATGTTGTCATTTTGCTATACAGAAAATCAAATAAATAATCATAGTACTTGGAATAAAAAATAAAAAAAATTAATGAAAAAGTCGTCACTTAAATAAAGCACTTTCATAGCTTGAATCAAAGGTTAAAAAGTTCAAAAATACAAATAAATAGGTAAGTGTATTTTCAATCAAATCAGTTATCCTCAGGATTAGTGAGCAGCAAAGAGCATTAATTAAAGACAGGTGAAATCTCGGACAAGGAGAGATTTAGTGGAAAAACCACGTCAGTTTTTCTAAATTTATTTGGGAAAAAAAATTGTAAAGATTTAAGAAATAAAAAAGAAGTAAAGTTATTACTTTACAACTAAATGCAGTACAAAAACCACAAATGTAAAATATATGATAACCAAAATCTACAAGCTGTAAATATTCATTTTTTTAAATTTAAAACATAATTTTAACACTAGTTTAAGTTAATCTAGGTAATAAATATTTTTTTTTTTAATTTCTTCCCTCCCCTTTTGGCTTCAGGCTGTAGATGTCCTGCTGCCTAAACCAACCCGATCTTAGACTAAACCAACCCCACTTCTCCCGATCTTAGACTACTGTTTTCTAATTAGTTGCGTGCATCTCTATTCTTTCTATCAATGACTTTAAGCATCCACCATGGTATCTTGTCTACTGTTATGGCATTCATTTCTTTATAAAGGCTTCCTAATGGATTGCTTTGAATATATGTTCCCCTATCTTAACATTCTAGCCTTCATATCATATGAACTGAACAGTTTCTGTAAGCACCTCTTTGTTGGTCTCTTTCCTTTAAACATTAGTAATCTGATCCCAAATTGCTCTGGAGTGTAATTTGTATTACAAGAAGTATAAACATATACTGTTTATAGATTTTAAAAAAACCTTTGACCAAATTAAAAGAACGCAACTTTTGAGTACATTGCATGAATATAACATCCTGTTTAAACTAATCCTAGCTCTGTTATTGCTTAATCCTTCTAATGCATCCTCAAAGGAAGGCGGTTTAAAATCAGGATCGACTTTCGTATCCGGCTCACAGACATCATTGATGTTCTCATTGTCATTTTCATTTTCGCTGCCAATTAGTATCTCTCTAAAATACTCTGATCATCTATTCATCACTTGCTACCCTCTCCCAACAGTACGCCATCCTTACTACGACAAACATTCATTTTGAGCCTAAACTGTTTCTCAATTTCCTGACTGCCTGATAAAACTTTCTTTCCTTCCTATTTTCCCGCATTTCTTCCTTATTTGTAATCCGTTTTCTCGCTCATTCCCTCTTTTTTTTTAGTACAGATCTTTTTAACTTTTTTCCTACTAACAGTATATCTATCTCTGTTATTCCTGGTTTTCCGATGAAGCATCTTCATTTTATAAGGCATTTTTTTATTCAATTGCATTTGCACATTCATCATTAAACCATTCCGAATTCTCCCTATTCAACTAAACAAACTACTTGTCTATTCAACTACTTCGTATGGAAGATCTCAAGATGTCCAGATTGTCTGTAGTGGTGATGGATTTCATGTCCCTTGGCATGATCAGTAGATTTGGTAAAGTAAATTCGGAAATCTCAAGCAGAATTAAGAATGAGAGACTACTAAGCCATGTCACTGTCTTGGAAATGAAGTTCCTAAGGAGAATTATAGGAAAAACACGGAGAGACTGTGTTCAGAATGAGAGAATTAGGGGAGAGCTGAATGTATGCCCGTTAAAAAAAAATCTAGAGAAGAGGCAACTTAGGTGGTATGGGCATGTCTGCCAAATGGATCACCACAGAAACCTAATTAAAACTATGGAAGTGAGACCATTGGAAAAAAGATTAAGAGTACATCCAATAAACTCCTATTTCACCCACTTGGAATGAATATGGAAATGCAAAGGTAATACCCAGGAAGAAATGAGAAACCTAGCCAGAGACAGAAACTCAAGTCACCGGTGGTTAGAAACACCCTCACACTGAAAGGCAAATGATTGAAAGAAAAATAACTCAAGTGTATAGGAAGAAGATTAACAAAACTCTACTTACCGACTTCTATCTACCAACACCTAAGAAATCTTTACCAACTATTTCATAGTAATTTACACAAACATAATGACATGTGTTAATACTGCTCAATCGCTTAAGTTACATGCCCATGAATACAACGAGCAGACTAAAAACGGTTAAGAGATTTTCTTAATTAAAAAAAAAAACAGAATAACTAAAACATGCGAGGAAAGAAAAGATCTACTTGGCACTACAACCTACGAGTCTTGATCTCAATAATCATCTGTGAATCAGCTTTGCTTTGCAGGACTATCCCCATATCTCCAATCGTAAGTAGGCTTTGACCATCTGCCGCTTCCACCACATCTCAACCTGGGCCTTCCTGCTCTTTGGGTTAGATACAGGACCACTCTAAGTGTCTTACTCGGAATCTCTTCCTCATTAATTCTGACCACCTTGGGAAAATATTTTATCTTGGAAAGAGTAGACATGCATGTATATCTCCTTCTGTTAAGCCCTCATTGTAGAACTCCTTGATACAGTGATTTATCCAGATCTGGTATCACACCTCCCTCATCATTAACTTAAAAAAGTGTCCAATTTAGTCCGTTTCCTATGCCTGAAATATTATTATTTCTATCATATTATTTGTTGATTGACAGAAATTAATTGAAAATTAAAAAAAACAAAAAAAAAACACTTTATTTCTATCAATTATTTACAAAACTATAACAAGATCATTTAATAAATAGGATTTTTTCAAAATGTGAAATTAAACTCCTCTATATGTTAGAAAGGAGGGTCAAATCTGTTAAAAATAACTAAAACCAATCATGAAAAAATATATATATTAAACAGCAGCAAGTATATAATTATTAAAAAAAAAATGAAAGTGAATTTTTAGAGAATTTCAATTAAACGTCATGGTATATATAAGATTTAAAAAATATATATATAACATTACAGGAAACAAGGTAAAAAGATTGATGTGTTGATAACATCAATGTTTTTGAGCATTGATATATTGATATTTTTTGACGTCACTCATCATCACCCTTATATTTGGTGGAGGTCTTAACATGGTCAACATTTTTGATGATGTGATTGTGTTGTATTGATCGAATCATAACCACTGAGTATACAATAAACTTCCCATAGTAGGTAGAGAGATGGAGGTGTGCTCTAGTACTCTCACAACTAATTTATCTGCTTCTCTTCAAGCACTGAATTTTAACTCATTATGTCTTTTTATTACTATAATTATAATTCTTAGTATTTTTTCACTATTACAATTAATAAAAGGAAAATGGGAAAGATCATGTATATCTTAAAACCTTAATTTGGAGCATGAATTTTTTATTGACCAAGTGGAAAACTTCTTTCTGTTTATCATTTTTATCTCTAACAATTTTTACTTTAACTTACGTATATATGTAATATATAGTAAGTGTAAGTATTGCGATCGAGAAAATTTTTGAATCTGAGTTTTCAACGGATTTATACGTTTTGAGGTACCCTGAGTCGAAATGACCAAGTCCCGAAAAATGGTCTGTGTGTTAGTATGTTAGCAGTCTAGCTCAAAAACGAAAAGTCCTATGAAACTGATATCACGTATTTAAGATAGGTATATGCCTTAGTTGTGACGGCAACTTTTTCCTTAAAATCGGCTAACCGGAAGTGCCACTTTATATCAACGCTGAAACACATTTTCACAGTTTTCTCAAAAACAGCTCTAACGATTTTGATTAAACTCGGTGTATCATTGTATAATTAAGTGGTCTTTAATATCAATTAGGTCCTATCCCCATTGATGTCACTTTACAGGGCATAAATGCCCAATGTTCATATACGTCTTCCTCTAAAGTATCTTTAACATGGTTTATTTTAAAAAGATAATTATTTTGCATTATTTAGTGTTACGAAAAAATGATAGATATAACTTTTGGAACTAAATTAGTGAATAATTTGATAGATCTTACCTTTGTGATATTCCACTACCATTTCATTGTACTTGTGTGAAAAAAGAAGTGAAATACAAAAATATTTCATAGATACGTTTCTAACCCTAAATATATTTACTGTAGTTTAATAACTCTAGATCTCATAATATATTTAAATATTTAGATATCTATCGTCCGTTTATTCCGAAAAATCATCATGTAACCTTTTAGAAAATTAAATTAAATTAAATTAAATAGTGAATAGTTTGATAATTTTTCTTTTTGCGATATTCCAACAGAATCCACTTACAATTAGTGTGACAACTTTTGATCTGTCTATGACAGACACTGCAAATCTCTTAATTCGGTTTTAATAAACTTTGCAATGGAAAATAACAGTTTAATGACTTATACTCGAACAATCCATAATCAACCGGTGATATAATAAATAGGACTTTTGTTATTTTAATAGCATTTGTGTTTTTTTAGCTTTAGCTCAGTTTAAAATGCAATTTAAAACATTTTAAAATAGCCTAACATGGCCAGAAAATAATTTTTATTCAAAGTTCAAAGAGTAAGTGAAAGTTGTGTGTTGCGCACACCAGATTTTTAAAATTCTTATTGTAAAATAAATTTTACCAATGCTCTGAAGGAGACAATTGTTATGATTATTTCCCTCACTCATTAAGAAATGATCATGGTCCTCAAAAAATTTTATTTAAAAGCATTCAGCAGCAGAGATGGGCAAATGCCAAAGTGAGTACCGAGTCCCAAGTATTCTACTAAACTATTGACCTTTGATTCTGATTAATGTACTCAGATATTCAACTTGCCCGAATCCGAGTATTTTGCTCAAATGTCGAACTGCTAAACTTTGAGTATTTTATTCAAATAGCTGACCTTTGAGTACTTCACTCATGGTATGTTATAAATTATAGTTCAAGTACCATATGCTCATAGATAAATATATAAATTATACTAGCTTTACACGGCCACGCGCTGCTGTGGCTTAGCCTGGCAAAATGAAAAAAATAAAAGAAAATAGAAAGCACATATGAGTAGATTAGTAGCA